GTCGCCACTTTTTTTTTGCAAATTTGTCCTTGAAAACGACATATTAGAAAAAAAGTAAGGCCTAAACATTTGCATTCAAATTTATCTCTAGCTTAGGGTTATTAATCATGGGCAGTCGGTTTTTTTATTCTGCTTATTATTTTTTTTCATGTGAGAACATGAAAAAAAAAGTTCAGCGGTGTTAAAAACAAATCCCGCCTTGTCATACTTGCCTAAGAAATCACCCCACCTCCACATGACATGGTCATTCTCAAGACAGAGTTTACCAGTGGAAAACGGAAGAAAATTTTAAAGTCAACTCCTCGCAAAGCAAAAGCTATTATTAATCGAATTTTGGAACTCCCGCAACAATAAATGTCAAAATCGATTGATATTTTATGAAAATTTAAAAGCAAATGAAAACAATCCGGTTCGAGGTGGTCAGCTTATGTTTCTATATTTCGACTCTCTCGACCGAAAGGTGGTATGTTTCGACCGTCTCGACCAAGTTTTGGTATGATTCGACTTTCTCGGCCAGATTTTGGTATGTTCCGACCCTCTCGACCCAACAAAAAGTGTTCAAATTTGTTCGACAATTCCGAAAAGCTGCAACTTTCTCGACCAAAACTGGTGCAACTAATTTGTGGAAATCATAACAAAAATTTCAAAAAAAAATCTGAAAATTGATTTGAATTTTTAGCTCCAAGGTCAGTCAGAATGTTTTGATAAACTGTTAATAAGTCAGTCATAATGTTTTAATAACTTTTAAATATATGGTATAATACAGTGGATACATGACAAGCGATTATGCTGGTCTAGCTAAATGCACGTTACAAACACTTATATACAACTTTATCTGCTATTTGCATGTCTTCCTGTTTTGAACAAAATCTGACAGAAAAGGCTTCTCCAGTCCGGTTTTTTACTATTCATCTTAGTTTTTGGCTGTTCGTGACCTATGTTTTGAGTGTAATCGATTTATGTTTTGGCTGAGCTCGACCTTTCTCTCGACGTTTTGACTGTGCTGGACACGTGTTTCGAGGGTGCTTGACCTATGTTTCAACTTTTCGACCGACCAAAGTCAGATATGTTACGACTGTGCACTGCCTATCTTCCAATTTTTTCGACTTTCTCGACTATCAAATAACAAAAAAAGTCGACAAAAAATATAATTAATGTTTTTCTGTTGATTTTTTGTAATGATGCTTCAGCTGAAAATAATTTATAAGATTCTGTAAAATGTAAAACTCCTTCATCGAAAACTATTTTCTTTCAAGTTGAATCTCCCAATTTTGTTTTTAATCTACAAATTTGGACTGAAACTGTTGATTTGAAAACTGACACTAGAGGATTTTTGGTAAAGTTTTACTTTTTGCTGCCGCAGGAGCACTCAGATCCCAAACAGTTACAGGGTTTCCTCCAATTTTGCGGCAGTCAAGTTCCATCAAATGATTGTTGAGGCCTGCAACTTTCGGACGGAGGTTTTTAACTCCTTTTCAAATTTGAATTTAACTAAATTACTTTAAAAAATAGAATTTTGAAAAAAAAATAGGTTCTGCTCAACTTATATTTGGTATTTCTGGACCAAAGTCTGTGCTTTGATCTTTGCACATTTTGACTGTGCTTGACCTTTGCTTTAAATTTTTCGACTAAACTTTCGTATGTTTTGAATCGTTTGGCCCAAATCGGGTGTGTTTCAACTTTGTGATCGACTCGAAATTTCTTCTCGAAATCGGTTTTTTAGTCGCACCACTGCACTTGCTCACCTTTCAAAGTCGAAATATAAGTCGATCACATCGATTCTGGAAAAGTGATCGCCGGATGAAAGTCAAATGACTCTGTTTGTGTCTGAATCAAGTATAGTCCTGTTTAATACTCTCTGAGACAGGTATGTTGTTGCCTCCCGTCCAGAAATGCGAAAAAAAATGTTTTCTACATCTTTGAGCATCTATGCAAAACATTTGGTCAGTTTTGATCAAAGTTCGGTTCCTGTAAAACAACTGATCAAATTTGGAAAGAAATATTGACCTCCACTTAGTCGTTACGCAAAAATTTCCCAAAACCACAACGAAGTTTAGTGTCAAAAAAACTAGTTGCGTAGATGAGTAGAACTCCCATAAAAGATATGCGTTGTTTCGATAAATTCCAAGATTTTATTCGGTCAAAAAGCTATCCCGGAACTATCCTGGAAGCCAGAAAGAACAAAGATTTGTCTTTTTTCTGAAGACGTTTTTTGTCTTTTTGTTCCGACTTTCAATACGAAAGTAACGGAATATTTGTGCTCGGGGTGGGTTTTTTTTTTCTTCAGACAAATTTCGACTTTTTAATTAGCCATTTTTGACGGAAATTTTTTATATCATTCAAAAGGTATTGTTGTCCTGAGCTTAAATTTGAAAAAAAATTTCACCTGTGACCATTTTTCGTAAAGTTATGAGGGTTTAAAGATTGCCATTTTGGCCATTTTGACCAATTTGGGACAATTAACGCGCAATGTAGTTCGCGCTATTAACGCGTAAGCGGAGATTTAATCCGTCTTATAAATCGTTCCAAATTAATTGAACGAAGCTTATTTGCCATAATTGATTTATTACAAGGAACGAAAACTATCTTTTTGTACTTTATATGGCGTGTGGGGGGATGATTTTTATAAAAAATTTCAAAGAAAAAAAAATTTCATTTTAATTTATTTCATTTAACTTTTTTTTTATTACTGCTGCTCAATAAACCTTAAAAGGCAGTCGAAACATTCAGGGCTTCGCCCTGATACGAGCAGTCTTGTTGTTCCGACTTTCGATACGAAAGTAACGGAATATTTGTGCTCGGGGTGGGTTTTTTTTCTTCAGACAAATTTCGACGTTTTAACTACCCGGGTTAACCTCCATACACCGAAAATGGTTATCATACAATTCCATACATCAAGTGTATGGAAAAATGCTTGTCATACAATTTTCATACAATTTCTAAAAATGGTTGAAAAAAGATATAAACTTATTTATGTGGCTGTTTGATTCTAATAAAACAGTCTGGTAAAAAAAAACCGAGGTTTTCGTTTTTGAAAAAAATGCTTATCATACAATTCCCATATATGGAAATTGTATGACTGGCATTTTTTTGATGGGGAAACAAAAATTTTTCAAGTAATTTTGAAAATTTGCCCCAAAAATTTTTTGTTTTTTTTTCAACCGCAAATCGAATTTCGTACGCAAACTAACATTTTTCAAAAAAAATTTTTTGCATGCAAAATTTAATTTTTTGTGTGCATAACGTAGTCCTGGTTACGATAATTTTGGCTTTTATTTTCTTTTGACTTGATTTTTTTTCTTCAAAAACGCTGAAAATTCCTATTTATTTTTGTATGGGTTTTTATATATGCCGTGATCAATGTCTGATAATTTGAAATTCAAATTTAAAAAAATCACCATTAAAAAACTTTTGCCAAAAATTAAAAGTTTGTTACTTTTGTTATATCAATTGTGAAATACAGCCGAAACCAGGTCGCTTTCTATGCATTGTAAATGCAAGACCGTCCAACCTTTGGTCCTTTGAGTAACCAAGGTCTTTGTCACTTGTGTGCGGTTGCAAGCACAAACGAAAAAATTTTCAGAAACTAAACTTAGAAAGAAAAGCTCAATAACTTTGGTTTATGGAAAAACACCTATCGTACAATTTTCATTTATGGAAAAATGTTCATCATAGAGATTTCATACAATGTTCTGTACGTATGGCATTGTATGGAATTGTATGACAAGAAGTTTCTGATATATGGGAATTGTTTGATAAGAAGTTTCGGTCATCCCGGGTAGCCATTTTTGACGGAATTTTTTTATATTATTCGAAAGGTATTGTTGTTTTGAGCTCAAATTTGAAAAGATATTTCACCTGTGATCATTTTTTGTAAAGTTATGGTGGTTTAAAGATTGCCATTTTGGCCAATTTGAGACAATTAACGCGCGATATACTTCGCGCTATTAACGCGTAAGCGGAAATTTAATCCGTGTTAGAAATCGTTCCAAATTGGTTTGACGAAGCTTATTTGCCATAATTGATTTGTTACAAGGAACGAAATCTATCTTTTTATACTTTATATGGGATGTGGGGGGATGATTTTCAAAAAAAATTCAAATTAAAAAAAAATTTGATTTCATTTTATTTCATTTAATTTTTTAATGTTATTACTGCTGCTCCATAAACCTTAAAAGGCAGTCGGAACATTCAGGGCTTCACCCTGATACGAGCAGTCTTGTTTCCTTTGCGCGTTTTTTGTCTTTTGTTGCTATATATGATTTTTTCAAATTTTAGTGGTGAAACCACAGCGAAATCGGCGCTTAATCAAATTTGAAGCATAGACTGGAAATGATGGATCAACCTTTGATCAGTGTCTCCTTAACGCTCATCAGCACTGATTCACAGCAATAAACCTAGAATAAGGCCGAAGACCGATGAATCAGTTCTGATTCATGAATAAGCGTTGCTGTTACAGCACTAAACTATCGCTGAGTCAGCGGTGTAATATCACCTAAATAACGCTGAAAATCACTAACTCAGTACTTTTAAGGCTTTTCCTCTGTTGCAAGTTGGACTTCTTTCTTCCAAAATTACTCCTTTTTTGGATGTGCTAATTACGATTTTACTTAAATTACGATGCCAAACTATGCACTTGATAGTCACAGTTTGTTGCGTGTAGGTTTCTGGAATCCAGTGACAAGAAGTCTTTAAACATGTTTAAAGTTTGTCGGAACGAATGAAAAAAAAAACAAAGAACAAAAAAAGAACCAAACAGCGTCCTTTGTTGCGGAATCCGCTTTCAATGCACACAATACACAGTTTGCTGGCCTCGTAATTTATGTTGCGCAATCTTAATTATCTTCCTGCAAATCAATAAATGTCCCTGAACTTTTGAGCTGATGTTTTTAGAATTATTTAAGCAAGAGTACATTAAATTGAGTGATTTGCTTTATCTAGTTCAACTCTCAGCGAAAAAACTCAAAAAACAGACGGCCTGCAGATTTTGAAAACTGAAATAGACGTGAATTGTGTATGTTTTAAGCAGTGCTGCAGTCGATTGGCAAACAAATTGTTGAAAATATTAAACAAGATATCAAAATACTCTATAAGATATCAAAATACGATAAGCTTATGCAAATCGATAAATATATATACATGTTGATGATATTGTCAATTTGAAGAGGCTTCATTCGCTTTTGTAATTTCCCGGATCAATGTTGACTTTCGCCATCCTTTCCAGAATCTGAAAAGAAACAAAAAGAATGTATTGAAAAGCTTAGAATTAAAGGTAGCTATGAAATTTTACCCGCCTACTAATTGTTCCGACTTTCGATACGAAAGTAACGGAATATTTGTGCTCGGGGTGGGTTTTTTTTTCTTCAGACAAATTTCGACTTTTTAACTAGCCATTTTTGACGGGTTTTTTTTACATCATTCAAAAACCCTTGTTGTCTTGAGCTCAAATTTGAAAAGATATTTCACCTGTGATCATTTTTTGTAAAGTTATGGGGGTTTAAAGATTGCCATTTTGGCCAATTTGGGACAATTAACGCGCGATATATTTCGCGCTATTAACGCGTAAGCGGAGATTTAATCCGTCTTTTAAATCGTTCCAAATTGGTTAAAAGAAGCTTATTTGCCATAATTGGTGTGTTACAATGAGCAAAATCTATCCTTTTGTACTTTGTATGGCGTGTGGGGGGATGATTTTTCAAAAAAAAATCCAAATTTTTGAAGAAAAAAAATTTTCATTTTATTTTTTCTTACATTTAATTTTTTAATGTTATTACTACTCCATAATCCTTAAAAGGTTGTCGGAACATTCATGGCTTCGCCCTGATACGAGCAGTCTTGTTTAAGATATAGC